AATTATATTTTTAGAATTGACGATTAATATAAAGTATAATAATCTGTATAAAGGGTGGAGCATTTCGAACAGGATTTGAAAATTATGAAACAGTTGAATAGTTCCGTGCGAAGGGACGGGACGTTACCAAATATAGCAGCCAGGGTCGAAGAGATCCGCATGCACCGACGTAGCAATCAGGTAGATAAGGGACGTCCCGTGGCTTATGGAATCCCATGGGTTATGGCACTTACGCGCAATGTCTCCTCAACGCTTATGGGGAAGTTGCTTCAGTCGTTTGCTAAAAGTGGCCAATTCTAACGTTCTGCAGCATACGTGGAATTTACGAAGATTTCCTATCACTTGAACAAATTTTCAAACTCGAGAATTCCATCAGAATTATTTATTTAGATACTATAATTTTCTTCAAAAAAAAGATCCTATACAATTTTCTTCCAACTCCAACATTTAATGAGTTATTAAAATCGAAATGTACTAATTTTCCCTTAATATTTAAAACATCAATCATAACCGCGCGAATACAATGAATTATTCTTGAACTCCTAAAATATTTCCTCTAGACAACTGCAACTAGTAACCAACGGGTTAATCGCAACACCCCTGGCGGTGCAGACGACGGCAGCGACGGTCGGCCCGGACGGTAGAGTCCTGGACACGCCGGAAGTGGCCGCTGCCAAAGCGGCGCACGCGGCGGCCCAATTGAACGAGCGCATCAATTTGGCGAACGAAGCTGCCAGATCACAGGGTACGATAACGGTGTCGGCTGCGCCTCTGGTGTCGACGAACGCGGTGGTGGTACCCGGCGCGCCGATCGGCCCGGACGGAAGGGTGCAGGACACGCCGGAAGTAGCCGTGGCCAAGGCCGCTCACGCGAACGCGCACATCAACGAAAAACTGAACCTGGCCACGGAGGCAGCTAAATCCGCCGACGTGCTCGCCGTTGCCGGACCCGCCATCGCTTATGGAAGGCTTGTCTTGTAATTAATTAGTTCAACCGTCCGTCATTGTTCATCGCCAATCGTCAGACTGCAGATTTTTCTGCTGAATAAAAACTTTCAGTCGATCTTAAAAAAATGCAAACTCGTATTTCGTTTTAATCCTCGAAAATAATAACTTTGTGCAAATTTCGTTTTTTTGTTACAATGCTGAATTTTTTTATTATTGCATGAGAACTGCAGTTTAATTATTGTCAGTGCAAAGGAGAGGGAGTGTAATTATGNATTACAATCTGACAATCAGATTTTCTGTTTTTTTTTACACCACAGTTTCACTTCTGACATAGTAAAAATAAACCATAAACAAATGTGCTGGACATATCTATTATGTCAAAGATTTGATGATTTAGTGAATGATCGACTGTGAGGATTTATTAAAGGGTTTAGTGAACTCACCAGACACTTCATGATGGGAATGTGGGCTCCTTGCTGCGCTATCTGAGGGGTCAGTACTCGCTGAGGTGCCTTGGTAAAGTCTCATGGTGTCCAGCAAAGAGCCAGGCCTTTATATAGCAACTCGAATAGGTTTCGCTCCATGGGGCACGCGACCTATAGGGAATGGGAGAACCCTGGCGAATGGGAAACGCCCTGTTCAATAACGAAATCCCCGATTCCACCTGACATTGACATTCGCTCCAATCGCGTCACGTTGAAAGGAATTTGTGGCTCACTACCATAAGAAGCCGTCCGCGGTGGACCATTTCAATTCATGATTGAGAAAAAAATGTTACAGGATTCTGTCTGAAGGACGTCCTTTCTTTATCGCATCTCATTTAATCAACCGGAACTTAATTAATGCAGTCGCACCGAATTAATGCTCTCATTTTTTTATATGCACCTTGAAAATAGAATTTTAGATGCCAAGTGATTTATCTTGGCTAATATTGACACTTTTTTATTCGAGCTTCATTTTAATGGATTTCTTGTTACGAATTTTAAGATCATAATTTCTAATTCAATGGATTAGGAATTAATTCACGAGATTTATTTAGATTCATC